AAGAGAAGAACGGTGAGAGCGAAGATGGAGGAGAGGAGGAGGAAAGTCATGATGATGAGGAAGCACCAAAGGCTACCCCTGAAGAGAATGGAAAGGAAGGCGAGAATGGACATGTCGAGTCAACTGACACTAATGGCAATGTAAGTTTTTTTGTGATTAGATCACGCTCTTTTTGCTAAGTTCTCTATCCATTTAGGATCGTAAGCGAGTATCAGATGTTGGTGTAGCTGAAGCAGCAGCCGACGAAGGTGCCCCCGCTTTGAAGAAGAAAAAGGCCGAAGAGGAAGAGGTGCTAATTTGTAGACCATTAATGGCGTACGTTTGTCAACGCAGCGTGCTGCTCCCTGCTGCTGTTGTCGCGCCTGTCAGCAGTCAGAATTGATAGGCAAACTGTGCGTATTCTTTCGTATGAATGTAGCTGAGGCAACGGCGATGATCGATATCGCCTTGCTTAGTTTAGCCGGCGGGCACAGGCCGATCGATCTCTGGAGACAGCGGCTTGGCTTGCTGCCAGATCTCATTTATTACTGAATCCGACGCATCTCGAACGCCAACGGATCTCGAATCTATTTAGCGTTCGAAATAGTTAGGTGTCTGCTACTAAGTACAGCCCTCTTTTGTTTGGGGTAAATATTGTTGATTAATAAGTACGCCCTACAATACGCGTCACTACTCAGCAACTGCACGCGAGCAAGCACCATCTTAAAGGGAGATTCTTTTTTAGCGCATGGAAATTTTCTTGCACTGATAGACTTGATACATTGCTCAGACCAATGTTCTTTGATCCGCGGGATACTTCGTCATATTTCAAATGAGCATTGCAAGCGCGAAGGGACTATTTTCCTCCACATCAGATTTCCACTAACTAAGAAGATTAGTGCGACTTTGAGTTGATAATTCTCGTCTTGATAAGTTCACAAGTCTATTCAAACTTCATTACATTGCTACTTCTTCTTCTCAAGCTTGCATTCACGCCTTTACTTCTTGACTTAGAATTTCAGAAGAAAATTGTCTACACTCGGTACTCACCACAAGCTGCGATATCATTTTCAAAAAGCAAGCAGTAATTCTTATGGGTAATTCCATCAATGTATTCAGTCAAAATTAGAGAATGCTTGGAAGTCGTCTGTCGACCTTTTTATTGGGAGTAAATGATCATTCAAAAAACTTCAGAAAAAGTGGTTTCATGACAGCTGTCAGCTGACATTTAGAACAATCAGAAACCTTTGAGTCTTAGATGTATTATTTGGAACGATATTTGGGTGGCCTATGTGCAGTTCATTGAAGAGCATGCCTTTTTCTCTTTTTAGTCCTATTCTCCTTGTTGATTTATCCTGAAGTTCCACTCAACTCTTACCAGATTAGAGTCTTTGCAA